GGCATCAACATGATGAGTTTTTCCTCCTCAGAAGAGCTCGAAATAAGGGGGAAGAATTGTTCAGCTGATAAATGCCAACCACAGTTTTTTTGGTGTGCCTGTTGCTTTTGCTCTGTTTATTTTCCTCCATGCACATCTCTCTCTTCACTTCTCTCCCTCTCATTATTCTTAACTTTCTTTGCAAGTTCTGCCTGTAAAATGAGGTTTATCCTTGCAATTAAGTTTCCTTATGGTGAATTTGTGTTGGATTTTTGTAAATAGTACAACTAAGAGTGAGAACAGAACAGTCAAGAGCTTCCTTTGTTAAATGTTTGCCGATAAATTTAGTGATTTGTCCCAGTTTGAATACAGAGTAATAGATAATTTGACTGGCTGATGTTGAAGACTCTGATTTAACCTATGAGCCTACATCCAGGCTCTCCAATACAGCATTTCATCAGTTCAAAATATTGCCAAAGTTAAAGAGTAGGTATCCTAAATAGTTCAAGAAAGGCTGACCCATGCTTTGATTTCAAGTAGCATTATTACTGTGATTGATAACTGTAAAAAAAAAAAAAAGAGACCATAAAACACTTAGAGCTTATTCAGAATTCAGCTGCAAGAATTCCGACCATGATGGAAAAAGGGGGACATCACTGCAGTTCTGACATCTCTGCTCTGGCCTGTAGCTCTCTGAAAAAATACACTTTAAACGGTTCGGAGAAGTTTAAGATCAACCCACAATAAAGGGTCTTGAAAATCTTAACAGATGTTGAAAATGTGAGATATCCCACATGATGAGAAATAACGTCAGATTTAAGCATTTTTTATAGTGTGTGGAGAGCAACACGGAGCACCATACATAAACAGATTCTGTTTAATACGACCAAGAATCCTAGCGCTGAAAACTTGAAATCCCCTGCATTAAACGCAGTGTAAACAGACATGACTTCATTTTTTATTCCATTGTTGTTTTGGCATGTATCATTTTTATTGAAATCTTGAAATCTTAAAGTCTGTTAGGTATATCTTAAACGTGTCTCTTTTAAATTTTAATGTTTATATCTTTTGTCTATTGGAGCACGTTTTTTATCCTCCCTTTTATCCTGTCTTATCAAAGTATATTAGCATAGAGATGGTGCCTTTGTGTGAAAAACCTGCTACATGTTGTTTTAAAATACATAATATCCGACACACTTAATCAACCAATTTTAAGTACAACTTTTAACTTTTGACAATCATGTCAGTCTTCAAAATCCTGAATCCTGTGCCTGAGCGGGTCCATGTGCGTGTCTGAGCAGGCTGGTCAAACTGAGGTACATGTAGGAAGGAGTGTCTCTACCGTGAACAAAAGGAGGCTGCTGGATAGAGGATTTGGAGCGAAGTCTTGACTGGGGATCCTCATAAATCACCGGCCTAGCGGCTGGATTCTGACAAGCCTGTATAGCTTTATCTGCTGCTGCTGTTCACTCTCATGCCCGCCTGCCTGTTCACCTCCCCGTTTTATGCATATCCAGCGGATATCCTACCTCTTCTCTCCACTCCTCTCTTTGGATAGCCCTCCTCCTGCTTCCCTTCTCTCCTCTGTTATCTTCGTGTGTATTTGTGTAACCCTCTCTCTCTCTCTCTTTTTCTTCCCCTCCCCTCTCCTCTTCCTCACTCCCTCAGATTCCCCTCCAGTAGGTCTGGTCTTCTCAAGGCCCGGGCCAAGCCCAGAGCCTCCCAAAGACCCTCTTTTCCTCTTCTGCTCGCTTAATTGATTCTGCTGGGGCAAAAAAAGAGAAGAGATATATACCTCATAACTTATTTATGTTGCCCTTTGATATGTGTGATATTTAAGAAGGGTTAATATGTATAGGCTTAATCCTTGAGGGGTGCAATGTGTGAAATTTTCATGAAGTACTGACCAATAAGATGAGATAAAATGAAAGAAAATGAAAGTTGGAAGTTGCGGCATATGCCTCTCCCTGTGGGATGTTGCAACGTTCGCTTACTGAAAAAAAATCAGGGGAAGAAATCAACTTTTGAGGAATTTATTTTGCTGTTGAATTTTAAATCTAACTTTTGACAGACCACCTAGGACAGCGTCGAATATTCTGAAGTTTTTTAAGAAGGAAAACAGAAAGTTAGCCAAAGAGGTGATGGGGAGGTTTACGGTTACGACACTTCAAAAATCAAAAAATGCACTTCACATACATATGCCATTTACTTTCTGGAGCATGCGTAGGTTTTATATGTGTTTGAACGCCCACGCACATGTATGTACAGTGTGTGGGTGCTGACAGAGGGAGGGGAGATCCCGCTCAGAGGCTTGTGCGGCTGCAGTCCCGGCATATTCATAAATCAGGCCTTTCAGGGAGCTGTCAGAGGCTCCATAATGAGGGTCATTACTCAGGCAGGGTGTCAAAGCTACTATCACAGGGACCCGTCCCTGGAAATCACACTCACTCTGCTCCTTGTTAAATAAACAGTGCAGTATACAAAATGGCAAACAAGCTGAGGGTCAATCTGATGCAGCGCGGGGCCAGGCAGGCCTCCAGAGTAATTTACCCTCAGGGAATACCTCTCGGCTGGGGAGATGGATTATAGAAGGCCCTCGAAAAAGATTAATGGAAGTAAAGGCACAAAAAGAAACAGAAGGAGAGGAAAATGAACAGAGAAGAGGTGTTTGGAAGATGGACTGACAGAGGAAGGTACATAAAAGAGAGGAAAGTCATAAAAACTGTCAACAAAATGCACTTATTATGTGCACGAAACACATTTTTAGATTCATTTCACAATCTGTAAAAATCACCCAAAAATCAGGGTTAGTTTCTGCTGACATGAGGAAGTGGCACTTTCCCTTGGTCCGAGCTCACTGTGGTGATGCAACGGCCGGGTAATAACACTGTCTGAATTTCTGTTATCAAATATTCATCCTTTTATTGCCTTGCTAATATCTTACACACAGCTTTATTAATTCGGGGCGGTGGAGGTGCTGTGGCTTGGCAGGTAATGGCAGATCAGAGAGGAGAGATAAAGAAGACGGACGTCTGAATTGTCTCTGTAGTGTGGGAAGTGTTTCCCCTGAAGAATACAACTACTCCTGACTCTCCTATCAGAGCCGGGCTTTATTTTAACTTAATTATTGTTAATTATTCACATTTTGCTTTAGATGTCATGTTGGCACATATCTTTTTGCTCAGAGTAACCATTATGTTGTCATATTATTCATGTCAAAACAGTCATCTGAATACAGCAGTAAGAGAGCAATGAGCAGCTGTTAATATTTATACCTTTAATCTTGGGTGTAATATACCACATCGTATCTGTGTGAGGGCATGCCCCACACACGCACAAGACACACTGCGCAATATTAAAGTAATATTTGAACCCAGCTTCATCTAAAATAACCATTTACAGACTGAAAACTTCCACAATTTCTCCCACTAAAGAAGATTTAAATTATCAATTATGTTTAATATTCCTCTCACTTTCTTGTTCTGCTACACAAAACACCACAACCGTCACACGGGGTCTGTTCAAGGACAAAACACTGAGCGCTTCCTCCTGTAGATGTGCCCTCTTCTCTGTTCTCCCCGCAAACCAAACAGCTAGAAGTGCTGCTTTTTTTTCCCTCTTCACCCACTGATTTTCAGCTCACCTACCTGAAGGCAAAAAGATTAATCTTTTACATCTGTGAGTTTTAGACAGGCGCTCACGCTGTGCGAGACACCGCTAAAGCAGCCAGCCCTTACGCAACGCCAATTAATGATTTTGTCATTTCGGTGACAGGGGGGTGGCTGCTGTGAGTTTGTCGGAGTGCTTTTAAGGCAACAACTGCTGCTGGAAATTGCGACCATCTGTTTCCAAGAGAGGGGGGTTGGGGGTGGCGAAGCTGTGAGGGAGACAGTAGCCGTGTGATGATGCGTCGTTTGTGCAACTAGCTAGCGTAGAGAGAGCACGCTGGCTGCCTTGTCTTGGGGACATGCAGGGAACATATGTTGTCTTGGAGCCCCGGGGCTGACATTGAAGATGAGGAAAGACAGTACTTCAAGGCAAATGTTTTCCCTGAAGTGAGGCTGCCACTGCTTATACGGCGCAGAGTATCGACAAGTCTCCCGTGGACCAGCAAACGTAGCGATTTACACACTAATGTAAAGGGCGACCAAGCTGAGACTCCCCAGACTGCGAACAGAACGGGACACACGCCTTTCCCCAAAACTGGATCATTTCATCAGATTAGCCTGGAGGAGATGCATAATCACACATGATACTCTACATGCACCTGCGGCTGTGCTCGTAGCTCTGACTGTGGTGGCACAGCTGAGCCGAGGCCAGGAAGTGCTAAAGACAAGCGTCTCAGTGCAAATACACACGCTTCTGACTGTGTTTGGTACTTTGTAATTACTGCAAAGACTGCGATAATGCTCCTGTGATATCTTGAGATGATGCTCAAGCAGCCAATACGCACGTCTTCTTCACCGTCTCTCACTTTGCAGGAAATGTACCCCGTAATGATTCTACCCTTAGGATACATCCGCTGTTGTGATTTGTTGCATGTTGTGATTTATGTTTATTAAAAGGTAGTACTTTACATAAGTATTAAATAGTTAAAAGAAGATTGCACCGTTTAGAGTTAAAAACATATGGAGAAACATAATTGTTTACTGCATGTTTTTGTATTGATATGCACTATTTGAGTTTATTTTGGAAAGACTATACGCTGCTTTTATTTTGAAGGAGTCACCAGGAAGTTCTAGTCAGTCTGTGTGAAGTTGATAGAAAGAAAAATATATTCGGAGAAGCCGCTAGCGACATGTGATTAGCTGACACGCTGTGAGACCAAGCCACCCTTATTTTGTATTGCTATTTTTCACCACGTTTGTATCTTTTAAAAACTGAAAAGGTCAGTAAACTTTGGTTAACGTTATTTGGAGTCTCATTTCACCATTTTTGAGAACTTTCCAATACATTTTGGTGCCGAAACCCGGGATCTCAGAGACTTTTTTTGATGTTTTGAATTGGAAGTAACGAACGAAATGTCCGACGCCATGGAACGTATGAAGAAGAAGAGAAGAGCAGTCCGTTCTTCAGTATCAAAGTTACTGGCTCGTATGGAAGAGGAAACAAACAAAGGGGAAAACGAAAGGGACTATGACTCGCTGCGTGAAATGCTGTCATTATTAACGATCAAGGAGGGACAATTAACGGAACAGGACAGAGGCATTGAAGAGAAAACTGTGACGGAGGAATTAGACTCTGAATTAGAGTCCTCACAGGAATATCAGGATCGCATTATTTCATGGAAAACACGAGCAAGCATACTGATCCAGAGAAGCCCTGGTGCCCGGGAGGAGTACGTGAGTAGGCGCACTAGTGCGGGAAGTGCAGGCTCTGATAACTCCTTGGCGAGACAAACTGTTAAACTGCCCAGGTTAGTGATTGAAAGGTTTAATGGAGAAATAAGCCAGTGGCAAGAATTCTGGAGTCAATATGACACTGCTATCCACTCCAATGATGCGCTGTGTAAGAAGGAAAAGTTCACTTATCTGAAATCCTACCTAAGTGGAGCAGCAGCAAAAGCGGTAGCAGGGCTCACATTGACCGACAGTAATTACGACAATGCAATTGACTTGCTCAAGAACAGATTTGGAAGAAAGGACATTGTGGTCAGTGCACACATGTCAAAACTGCTAACCCTGACACCTGTGAAAAGATCCTCAGATATAGTAGCACTGAGATTTCTCTATGATGAATGTGAAATACAGATTCGCAGCCTAGAGTCCCTAGGTGTTCACAGTGACACATATGGCGCCCTGCTATGCCCTGTATTATTGCAGTTGATACCAGATGACTTGGCATTAGGCTACACACGCACGTTGGACACTGATGGTGAATGGAAGGTGCCTGAGCTAATTAAATTCCTGCAAAATGAAGTGCAAAGTAGAGAGAGAGCACTACAACTGACCAGGTCAGGCAGCTCCCAAAAGGACCATTCCCAAAGTCACAGACTGTTCACAAAACAAGTGCCATCCAATGAGAATAAATTCAAAACTGTGCCCTCAGCAGCTGCATTGCACACAGCCAGTAATGCCCCTCAGACCTGTGTGTATTGTGACAGTCCCAGTCATAAGCCAGAAAACTGCTCAGACACCACAGTGACTGCTCGAAAGGAAAAACTGAAAAAAATGGGAAGATGCTATGTGTGCCTAGGCCCCAAACATATAGCCAAATACTGTAAAGTCAAAGGTGTCTCATGTGCCTTGTGTGGTCGCAGACACCACCAGTCAGTCTGTGATCAAGAAGTGCAGCCAGGCGCTGCTAACAGCAACAGTACAGATGCTGTGGTTTCTTCCGTGTCTAGCACAATGAAACCAAAATCTAATGAACCCAACACAGTGCTGCTTCAGACAGTTAAGGCCAGGACAGAGGGCCCAGCAGGTAGAAAAATAGTGCGTTGCCTATTAGATGGAGGCAGTCAAAGAAGCTTTATACATGAGAACCTGGTGAAGACACTGAAACTGCCAGTATTAAAGCAAGAGACATTGAACCTCCACACCTTTGGATCTGCTGGTCCCATGGCAACAAAGCGCAACATTGTCAAGGTAGTGCTGGAGAATGTGTGGAATACACAGCAAAGAATTGAAATTGCAGCAGTTGAGACCCCTCAAGTGTGCACTGCTGTTATGAAAGTGCCTGGAGAGCACATCAGAGGAGAATTCAAGAGGAGAGGTCTGCAGCTGGCAGATTTCCAGTTAGATGGTGCTGAGGACCCCGAGCTGTTGGTCTTAATTGGAGCTGACTTTTACTGGAAAGTGATGACTGGCAAGGTGGAAAGGCTAACAGAGTCACTTGTGGGCTTAGAAAGCACCTTTGGATGGACTGTACAAGGGCCAGTCCCAATGTCTAGTGTAACAGACACAACCTGCATGCACATCAGTCTAGATGAGGACACTCAGATCTCAAAACAGTTGCATGCCTTTTGGGAAATAGAAACACTGGGCATTGTAAATGACAAAGCTGAAAACCCAGATGATACGGAGGCTCTTCAGAGCTTTGAGCAGACAGTGACATTCAATGATGGTCGCTACCAAGTTGAATTACCATGGCGACTGGACAGCCCACCTCTACCAGACAACTTCAGAGTTGCAAGGAAAAGATTTGAGAGCCTGAAGAGGAAACTGGTTGCTGATGCCACTCTGTACACAAGGTACAACAATGTGATGGAGGATTACCTACAGCAGGGAATTTGTGAGGATGTCTCAGAGAATGACTCAGCAGCAGAGTCAACAGAAACTGTGAAATATTACCTACCTCATCATGCTGTACTCCGGGAGGAGAAAGCGACGACCAAGCTGAGAGTCGTGTTTGATGCCTCATCACATGAGGCTGGAAGCCCCTCACTAAATGACTGTCTGTTAACTGGGCCAAACCTAAACCCTGATCTGTTAGATGTGCTTATCAAATTCCGACTGCACAAGATAGCTTTCACTGCAGACATCACCAAGGCTTTCTTGCAGATAGCTCTAGCAGACAAAGACAAGGATTCAGTCAGGTTCTTGTGGCTGCATGGACCCCCCACTAAGGACTGTGACAATGAGCTGCGCATCATGAGAATGAGTAGAGTGGTATTTGGAGTTTCACCAAGCCCCTTCCTCCTAGTTGCAACCATTAGGAAGCACATCCAACAGTATGATGCAGCCCAACCAAAGGCAGTAAAGGCACTTAGAGAGTCTTTATATGTAGATGATCTGATTTCAAGCTCATGTGACGTGGAGGAGGCCTATTCAGTCACAACAGGAGCTAAGAACATTCTGTCTGCTGCTGGAATGAACTTGTGTAAATGGGCCACAAACTCACCAGATCTCAAGTCAAAATGGACAGCGAATGGATTCGAACAAGCTACAGAACCTGTCACTTGTGGGAATGTACTGAAAGTGCTAGGTCTAGTGTGGAAACCAGAGGAAGATCACTTTGTGTTTGACTTAAATGGACTTTTAGACATTTTGAAGGACAAGCAAAACACAAAGAGAAGCGTGCTGCAAACGTCAGCTCGTATTTTTGACCCTATTGGCTTCCTCACTCCGTTCACCATTAGGGTGAAGCACCTCTTCCAGCGACTGTGGGAGAGGGGAATTGGTTGGGATGACCAGTTACCCCCAGACTTGGCAAAGGAATGGAACCGGTGGTGTTCAGAACTGCCACAGCTCCACCTTGTGGCGATTCCCAGGTGGTATCACATTGAAATCCAACCAAACATGCAGTCACTGGAACTACATGTCTACTGTGATGCTAGTGAAAAGGCATTCAGTGCTGTTGCATACATGCAAGGAAAGAACCAGGATGGGGAAATTGTGACAAGCCTTGTAGCATCAAAGTCGAGAGTTGCCCCTCTAAAGAAACTAACTTTACCACGCTTAGAGCTGATGGGAGCCTTGATCGGAGCCAGATTGGGAAACAATCTGCTTAAGTCCCTGAAGATGGAAAAGAATCAGCTCAGGATGTGGACAGACTCGATGATCGCCTTGCACTGGATACGCAGCACAGCACACAAATGGAAGCCCTTTGTGGAAAACAGAGTGACTGAAATTCAAAATTTGACGAACCCAGAATCATGGTCACACATCAGTGGCAAAAGGAACCCTGCTGATCTACCCACCAGAGGCCAGAATGTGGACAATCTCATCCAGAGTCAGCTGTGGTGGAACGGGCCTGCTACGTCACTGACAGCTGAACCAACAGACACAATTGAGACTGAGGAGGACTGTACTGCTGAGGAGGCAAATGCTGAGCTTAGGACTAAGTTCATGGTAGCAGTACAATTTACTAGCACTGATCCAGCTGAACCATTGTTAGACCTTGATAAGTACAGTAGACTGAGAACAGTGTTCAGATTAACTGCGTGGGTGAAGAGGTTTGTGAACAATGCCCGCTCAAGCCAAAGGACCCATGGAGAGCTCACTGCAGAGGAGCTCACTGCAGCTGAAATGTACTGGATAAAGGTGACACAAGAGCAAGGTTTCAGCCAAGAATTAAATCTACTGAAATCAGGACAAGAACTTGACAAGGATTCAAAAATCAAGGACTTGAAACCATTCCTTGATGAGAACAGCCTTATCAGTGTGGGAGGAAGGCTGCAACAGTCGGAGTTCAGTTTCAGAGAACAGCACCCATGGGTGCTCCCCCCAAAACACAGATACACTGAGCTCTTACTTCAAAACTACCATGAAAAGGTGATGCATTCTGGGATCAGGGATACTCTAGTGCAGATAAGGGAGAGCTACTGGATATTGAGAAGCAGACAGCTGGTTAAGCAGATTGTGGCACGCTGTCACATCTGTAAGAGACTAAAGGTGAAACCAGCTCAGCAGGTTACTGCTCCTTTACCAAGAGACAGGATTACAGAGTCCCCACCCTTTGAAGTCATGGGCATTGATTTCGCTGGCCCGCTGTACGTCAAGTCAAACAGCCAGACAAAGAAGGCATACATTGCACTGTTCACATGCGCTGTCACTAGAGCAGTGCATTTAGAGCTTGTATCAGACATGTCCACAGAGAACTTTCTCTTAGCCTTGAAGAGATGCATTGCGAGACGTGGGCTATGTAAGGTCATTTATTCTGACAATGCCAAGACCTTTAAGAGAGCAGACCAAGATCTGAAGGAGCTATGGAAATCATTCAAGGAACCGGAGCTCACTGCATTCTTCACCGAAAAGGGCATCTCGTGGAGGTTTATTGCTGAGAGAGCAGCTTGGTGGGGCGGCTTCTGGGAAAGACTCGTGAGGTCAGTGAAGACATGCCTAAAAACAGTCCTAGGGAGGGCCTCACTGAACTTCGAGGAGTTAACCACCACTCTCACAGAGGCAGAGGCTGTGCTGAATTCTAGGCCACTCTCATATGTGCACAACGATGCAGATGAGCCCACACCCCTGACACCCGCTCATTTTCTGGTCGGCAAAAGACTGACTTCCCTGCCACCAAAAACTATGATTCCAGAAATTCAGTCAGCCAATCTAAGCAGAGAGAACATGGGACGCAGATGGAAGTACCGCCAGAGACTCCTAAACACCTTCTGGACCCGCTGGCGCAAGGACTATCTACTGGATCTGAAATCAGCACATAAGTGTGACACATCCAGACCCACTGAGCTCAAAGTGGGAGACGTCGTGCTGATTGGAGAGGACAAAATGCCTCGACAAATCTGGAAGACAGGCAGGATTGAAGAGCTGTTTCCAGGGCGAGATGGACTGCCACGCTCATGCACAGTTCGTACCCCTACAGGGACACTACTGAGAAGACCTGTGCAACTGATCTATCCTTTGGAAATAACTTGATTTAGGCATAGATTAGTATTCATGAACATTGTTCATGGGGCGGGAGAATGTTGTGATTTGTTGCATGTTGTGATTTATGTTTATTAAAAGGTAGTACTTTACATAAGTATTAAATAGTTAAAAGAAGATTGCACCGTTTAGAGTTAAAAACATATGGAGAAACATAATTGTTTACTGCATGTTTTTGTATTGATATGCACTATTTGAGTTTATTTTGGAAAGACTATACGCTGCTTTTATTTTGAAGGAGTCACCAGGAAGTTCTAGTCAGTCTGTGTGAAGTTGATAGAAAGAAAAATATATTCGGAGAAGCCGCTAGCGACATGTGATTAGCTGACACGCTGTGAGACCAAGCCACCCTTATTTTGTATTGCTATTTTTCACCACGTTTGTATCTTTTAAAAACTGAAAAGGTCAGTAAACTTTGGTTAACGTTATTTGGAGTCTCATTTCACCATTTTTGAGAACTTTCCAATACATCCGCAGGCCACACGGCTCATTATGTTTAATAAAACTAAGCATCTATAGTTTCACATACTTGTTTCTGAGTGCACTTGAAGTGAACTAATCAAACCTAAAGCGCTGTTTTCTAAGAGCAAAGTTCCACAGAGTAATAGGGATTAAAGCCAGGAAACTGCAAACGCAATCCGACAGCAAACCAGGTATAAGCTAATGCAGCTAAATGCGACGGAAAAGTTCCTCTAAAAGCACTGAAGGAACCTGCTGAAGGCAGTGATGTTTAAGTTCTGTCTAATGCATATCTTATTCCTCAGTGAGCTTGACTTAAAACACTCAAATGTAGGGCCCGCACCTTGATGCCTGGCTGAGAGCGACACGATAATTGACCCAGCTTAATATCGCTGAGGTGTTTGTACGAGAGCCGAGCGAGGGCCTTCATTAGGGCCGTGCTAGCAGAGGGCCTAAGTGTCTCGCTCTCTTCTTCCCTCTCAGCTGCATTCAGGTCCAATGATGAATGGCTGCAGAGATGGACTGCTGCCGAGGGAGAGTGCCTGACGGGGCCCAGGCAAAGTCTTGGATGATGAATAATGACTCTGTAGCCGTTTTCCCTGCAGGAAGCACCTCAGACTCTGGTCCGTTCCTCTACAAAGGGAAATCCGGTTGACGGGCTCTCCTTAAGCAGAGACCGAGCCTCATCACGGTTAGGTGTGGCTGGGGATCGCTGAGATAGTGGTAGACATCACCTGTTTGAGTTGGGATTCATCATCGCATCAAAGCTTGGGCAGCTTACGAACGTGGCTAAGGCGAACAGTGAGAGGGCTTTTTTTTTCTGAATGAGGAAGAAAACTCGCTAAAAAAGACAAACTGTTGGTGAGCACTTCTGAAAAGTGGTTTGCGAGAGGACCGAGATGAGGCAGAGGGAAGAAACCGAGAAAGAGAAAACGGAGGGAAAAAATCAAAGACCGCGTTTGCAAATTAACTTTGACTGCTCAACAAGGAGCGTGTGTTGACAGGGGAGAGAGATGATCTGATTTACTGACACAGGCAACGGATAGAAAGCGGGAGAGGCACGAGAGACAAAACAAATTCAATCATCTCTTCCATCAAGAGGAATACCTTAGCCTTTTCCTCCACAAAAGACCCCCCCGGCTTAAATCAATTGCAAACAAACCTGATTCTGCGACGAGACACAGGGGGAATAAACAGTAGCTTTCAATTTAATTCAGCCCCGCGCCCTGGGAGAGGAAAACTTTCATCCATCACTTTCATGTGCCTCGCAAAGCAGCCGTTACTCTGAGTGTGTGCTGAATTGGTGACAGCGAGGAACGGTAAATATGTCTCAACAAGCAGCTCTGCCAACAGAGGCAACCTGTTTACAGCAGTGTACTCTTGACTGGAAGCAGCAGTGAAAGGCAACACGCACATGTCAAGATCAAGCCTTACAAGACACAGTACAGAGGGGCCCTGCAGAGAGTTCAGGATTTACATCACCTGCCTTCCAGTTATTTATACGCATCTGGGATAAAGCTGTGTACTATATTTCTGTCACTACAGATAAAGTTATCAACAGCATGTCTTAGAGTGTGTGCTGGATTTACCGCTGATGCTTATAGATCATTTAGGCAACTGTTGCTTTTGTGCTGCATAAAAACATTTAGTTGCAAAATTATCTTGACTAAAGTCAGAATTATCAATACTTTTTAAGACCGCATACTTACTGCCTGATGTGTGTCTCTGCTCCGCCTTCCGTCACAGCCTCTACACCGCTAACAGATACAACAACGCCACCTGATTTTCATGATTCGGAGGTTGTTGATTTGTGAGTTAAAAACCACGGCACAACAAGAGACAACTGTAAAACGTTCAAAAGAAGAAACTGAAATGCATCCTGTAGCACAGTAGTTCTCAACTGGTGGGTCCCGACCCAAAAGTGGGTTGCAGACACATTCTAGATGGGTCGCGAACAGCTGGTCAAAAAAGTAATCATATGTTTGACATGTCTTTTATTTTGAAAAATAGCTTATTTTGAAAGGCACATGTTATGTCGTGGTCCCCCTTGGTTTCTTATCAATGTGGCCTGAATGCATTAAAAATACATGTTTTCTTATGGGGTTTTTTTTTTGGCCTTTATTTTGTGCAATTTAAAATTTGATGTTTTCTGTAAATGCAACTTTAGTAGTTGTCGTCCTCAGTTCATGTGCTCTGAAATGCACTTTACTCAATAAAATGGGTGTATTGATGTTAAAGATTACAGTCTTTAAAGGTCTTTTTTTTTATAAAAAATAAATCTGCTTGGTTTAAATTTTATAAAAGTGGGTTGTAACTTAAGGACAATGGGAAAATGTGGGTCCCACAGTGAAACCAGTTGAGAACCACTGCTGTAGCACACTCTAACTCAAAGTCCTTCAAAATGCGAGTTAGTCTCACTCATCATGTCCCACCTGTACGAGCTCGATTGGCAGAACATCTCAATCATGTGTCAGACTATAAAAGAGTCTTTAAGTGACTTGAACACCCAAGTAGATACAGGATATTACAGGGTTAGATCTGAAACACACAGCTGCTTTTTCGCAAGGTCATTGCAGCTTGTGTAGATGTGGCGCTGTAGCTTGACCAAAATCAGAGGGGACATACAGAGAGATCCATCTCAATGTATTTTACAATTATCCAAACACTCTGTATTGCAGTGACAATAAATACTTGTGTTGTTACTATTTTTGTGTCTGTGCACAGGTTTTTTTTCCCTGGATCGTGTCGAAAGAGTAGATGGTGGGTTGAAGTTGTGCGCAGTCGAAGCCACCAAATAAAAGTTTGAACATGCATGTAAACGTTTGTTTAGATGTTAGCTTCGTGTGTGTGCCTGAGTACAACTTGTAACCCTCTTCTTGATTCAGCCAGACCACTTTCCCTCCTCTTCCTGTCATTAAGACACACCGAGCTTTCCCTTCCTTCAAAATATTCACAGCAGTTTTTTGTCAATCCGGTAATAATTCAATTTAGCAGGACTGGCCGGGTTGGGGACTGCCATTAGTTTGGAGGAGGTGATTTAAGATTGATGACTTGTGTCCCCATGGGAGTTGATTCCTCATCTTTTTGGAGGAGGAAGCAAGGAAGGATGGGAAGGTGGGTAGGTGGCGGGGGGAGCCTGCCGGTGGCCGTGGCTCTCCGGCTGCAGCGGGCGTGGGAGTCGTCGAGCGAATTAAGGTTCCGAATTGATTTCCTCCAAATTTGAGCTGACTAATGTGACAAGTGGCAGCTGTGAGCGCCTCACCGCCGCGGCCTCGGCTGTCTCCTCCGGGCTCCTCACTGTGACACGGTGCCGATGCAGGCGACGCAGGGAGAGAGCTGCACCGCTGTTCAGGTACACACACACACACACATACACACACACACACTGTAACAGGTTCACATGGCCACAGCTCAGGATACAGACAGACAAAGACATGCAGAGGAAGAGGTGCAGCGGAAAAATGCACACACACACACACATAAGGAGTGCATACACATTTACACACGCAAATATACACACACACACACACACACATACGCACGCACACAACGCCACTCCAACCCTGTGACACAGTGTTGTGCGGAGCTGCTCACCCATCAAACTCAAGTCAGTGACACAAATTACAGCCGAGGACTGGATGAGGGGAGCGTTGCTTGGCCCTGACACAGACACACGTGGATGCACCCACACACCAACGCAAACACACGCACACACACACACACACACACACACACACACAGCTGCAGCTCTGACAAGGAACAGGTCAACATGATGACACTGGTGAATAATTCAGGAGAAAACTGAGAAAAGAGAGTGCGTGGGGAACAGAGAGAATGGAGAAGGATGGTTGATATATACAGTAAATAAAAAGGGGGAGGAATGCATACTCTACGTAGTGTCTCTTTAAAAATCATACACCTTGTCACACACCTGTATACCATCATGAGGATGTTTTATTCAGAGGGAGCTACAGAAGGTAAAGAGCCATTAATCCATGACTGTAGTTATTTAGGAAAACCTTTGTAATACAAATGCGCTTCCTCCGAGAAGCGCGGTGAAAATATACCGAAAGCAAACCCGCATTTTCTCCTGTGCTTGTTTTTTAGCAGCTCCTTCTTTTAGTCGCTTCAGTGACAGCTTGGAGGAACAGTAAGCAAACAGTCTTTTTTTTTTTTCTCAAGAAACAAAAAAATGTGCAGCCCTTGACGGGCCAACGTTGGAATTGGTTTCACGCATGAACGCAGCCTTTAAGACAAAAGCACCTCAGGAGATAATTACAGTGTCAAGCATACCCCTGCCAAGTGCCTGACGATTGCCCAATATTTAGCTTTAATTAAATCAAAGCAGGAATGTAATTTCTCCTGAGTGAACTCCTCACACAGAGTGGATTCCCAGAAAACACACAACATGGCTGACTAATGCATTTCCTTTGTCCCTGTCACATCGCCTATCGCTTGTTATGGCCCCAAACCCTCCGTGTCCTGGAGGTAAACCGACTCTCTGCCTCCTCACAGGGAGTGGGAAAAAAAAATAATTAAAAAATAAAAAAGGGTTTCTTGCCGTGACACACTGCAGCTTTGCTCGGCTGGTGTGTTTACATGTGTGGAAAACAGGCGCAAATTAGCCGTAAACAATTGGAAATTGTGTCCGGGAGCATTTCAGCGTGATACTGAGGGGAGCAGAGTCGAGAGGCTGCTAGGAGGAATGTCAGCTCCTTTTTTTTTTCAATAAAGTAATTTGCTTTGTTCAAAGTCTTTAGTGCCTAACACCTGCTTTGTAAAGAGCGCTTTAACATATCGACTGATTTTCTTTTTAACTCTCTCTAACTGTGGTTGCTTTGTCATTTGTGAAGCAGGGACAATGTGCCAACATGCTGAGGTGGGAACAATTAGGGGCTGAATAGCTGCAAATCCCATATATACATGTTTTTTTACACCTTTATATGAACACAAACAAAATGGTTACAACCATAGTTTATCAAGTAAGATCAAGTGTGAGCCTTTGCGGTCAGTGTGGGTGATAAAACGCAGCTCAATCGAACATCTCTGATTGTGTTTTCGAGGGAGGGTTTTCATTAAAGCGCGCTTGTGTGCATGCAAAGATGATGTGTTTCTTTTCCCCACACTCCAGCGGGGGGAATTAAAAACAGCTTCTGTCTGTTTGGACTGCAGCAGGCAGTCTGCAAATGCCAAAAGGTCAACACGAAATTAATATGGGCATAATATTCTGAATGCAAACTCACGGTGCTGTTACACATGTGTGTGTGTGTGTGTGTCAAAGTTTGGAGTGAGGTCTGCACTAAGTTTAATATGCTTTTGTGTCTGTGGAAGTTCATGAACACACAGGTGTAAGCGTGAGACCCCGAACAGTGAACACACACACCCTTGAGCACATTGTGAAACTGTGTGGTATGTAGTTACGTGGATATTATGAGCGTCTTTTAAGCGGCGCAGAGTGCCTTGCTGTCGAGGAGGCTGTGAGGTCTAATTGATTGTAAAAGAGTCTAAAAAGTGCTTGAAGTGCAAAAAGAGACTGCTAGGTTAAGGATGTAATTACTGTTATGATGTGAGGAGGGATTTGACTGTACAAATTCCTTAAAACTGTGGAAGAGTGTATGTAAACATCGCCACACTGCTGCAGAAAATACGGAAAGTCAAACAGAGTCAAAGTGCAGCTGCAGGAGACACTAATTTTACTGGTGGCACGAGCCACGTA